GACTCTGGGTGGCTTCTGAAACAGGAAAATAACAATTCAAACAATAAGTCTTCTTATCAAAATTTTATTAAAGTATAAATCATAATATAATACAGGTGATAAAAATACATAAATTAATATCATAATATACTACACAAAAAACATTAAATAAATGCTCAATATCCATTAGATATTAGAAGACAATTTTGCATCAACTTTGATGAAAGTATTGCTAATCACGTTTCTTTCTAATTATATAATTAGGTATATCAAACCATTTTCTTTTTTCTACATACAGAGACGTTACTGCATTTCGTCCATCAGGTAATATAAATCAGAAAGGGCTCTCAATTTTGCCTGTATTAGGACAAATATTACTATTTGCCTCTTTGGGACTACAGAATATAAAACAAATTTTATATGCAAATAAAGACATACACTATAAAACTAAATTAAATATCAAAATAGCAATATAAACAATTAAGATAAAACAAAACAGGACCTCAATTCTGGAAATGTTTCTGAAACCTGATACACCAGGATAACTTGTTTCCACTGCCTGCCACACTGCATGCATTTGGGTGTATTTCAACAACGGAAAATCTATAGGCTTCACCAACACCAAAATTTACAGGCTTTAACTGACATGATGATATGTGAAGATTCAACAATAATGTGGTATACTGGTATCATATGTAAGAATACATATGAATTAACAAGTCTCCCACAGTAAGTTCTGTATCTATACAATTCAATTACAATTTCTTTCTTCTTTTTCCCGTTTCTTTCTTTCTTTCTTTCTTTCTTTGCTATTTCTTTGTACAAGGCTAAATGTGCCTATATAGTTATCTCCCTTGACTTACTAAATTTCACTGATTATTCAATTGCAATTAATCTTGGGGAAATAAGTAAAAAAAAATTACATGTAGAAATATAAGTGGCTTATATGTCGGTTCTTTCAACTTTTAAGCATACTACACCAGATTTTGCATATGACTGTCAGGCTGTCAATAGAACAGTAAATATAGATATGTTTTGCTGTGATGATTTCTGAGAAAGATATCAATGGAAATATATAATTACATGGTAAGACTGCTTATTCAATGTTTCAAATATAAAATTATCAGCCATGTTGACTGTATAATCTGTAAATGCAATACTTAGACTGACTTACAAAAGTATCAATTTTAATGTAAATGTTTTTCATCAGTAAACTTAGAATAAGACAATGCAAATAATGGAAAGACTAACATTCAAAATAAGCAATGACTTCAATAATTTCCCAAGACTTAAATTTGGCAAATAATACTCAAAGTCCCTTAAGTAATAAGAAATACGATCACAGTGAAAGCTTTAACATAAAAAACAAACCATCAAGTAATGATTCTTGACTTGTAGAACTGCCAATTTTTATCTTTTTTTTCATCAGGGAACCTAAAATTGCAAACAGAAACTACTTACAATAACTTAATATTTCTTCCAGGATTGAAATTTCATATATAATACTGTACAAAGCTTTAGCAATCAAAAAATGCATTTAGCTAAAAACAGTACATCTATTAGAACAAAAAAGACTATCTGAATCACTACTGAAAGTAGCCATAGGACACATTCAAAGAGTCCATAATAGAATACTGAGGAAAAGAATTGTTTATATTGGACAAATCTATACCCTCAGTGATGCATAATTACTATACTTGCTGAACTAAATCCTTGAGAAGCAGCATACTGATGTTCTTTCTTATGAACATCTAGAATAACTTTCAGCAATCACCCTGGATGGAATTAACCTCTCTGACAAGGTATGATCTGTATTTATGGCTAATCTACACTCCCCACAAATTGGAAATTAGGCCTTGTAATCCAGATCTTATAGGCACGATATAAATGAATACATCATTATTAAAGTATCATATGCTGTTTATATGAGATGCACTACACTGTAAATTATTCATTGTTTTTTAGATTAATTTTTTTCAGAAAGATACAACAAAGAATGTGAAATATCCAATACCTAGTCAATATCAACAAAAGAGAAAATGGATTTGAAAAAAAAAAAAAAAAATCAACTTGATATCAATAAACTTTCTTCTTTTAGTTCATATTTATCTTATTCCATACTTCTACAAATTCACAATTGCATTTGCATTTTTTTTTTATGTTGCCTTATATAAATTCAACAATCTAAACTATTTACTTTTTCTTCTTTTTTCCTTTTTCTTTTTCAGATGCCAGGGTGTATGTTTAAATACACTTCAGATCTGGATTCAGAGAAGTGTAAACATACATCCTCCAATATTTGCTCATTCATATATCCACATGCATGCTTTGATCTCTACTATAAATTCTTCCATTTTCAATAGAATCTTTCCAAATTGTTTCAATTAAAGTTGGGAAATATCTACACAATAGATATTGGTGATGGGGACTTCTCATCATGTGTAAATTTGGCTGCAAGACAGATGACGGGAACATGTTGTCATGAGCTATTGTTACCAAATGGTAGGTAACAGGAATGTCTCATCAAAGCTTTTCGGGAGAATGCTGGCTCCTATGAGAACACTATTTCCGTGCTTGACCACTTTGTCAATGATACAATTGAATATCATAAAAATAAAAAATATAATAATATCATATATACTGATACGTATAGCTATTATCATTGCAAAGTTGTTGACTACCTGGCAAGATAATATGAAGTCTGATCAATAAAACAGTCACTTATCATCCTGATACAGCATAACAAATTAAAAAAAATTTGGCAAAAGAGCAAAAAAATGTGTATGCAGAATACAAGCTAATAGCACACCAAGGAGGAGGCAAGGAGTCTTTATACCCCACACTGAGTGTTCATATAGACCAGGACTAAAAGTCACACACCCAAGCAAGACTAGTGCCAAGATTTTGGTCTCCATGTGAACCTCAGGGTATCTGCATCCAACAGATTAGACACTGAGCAATATATTTTCCATATCATAATCAAATACAAGCTGCTGGTCTTTATATATAAATGAACATTACTAGGTGGGCCAGCAGATGGCTTAATGGTCCATAGGGGATGGGTTAATATTCTAAAATCATCCTATACCATCCTATATTCCCACTTCTCTGTTATGCTGCAGTTGGCCAAGATGGACATGTTTTGGCTGTTCGGAACCTCTACTTTCTTGTCCTGGACAAGTTGCCCATCTCATTCATCTCGCCCTCCTTCGCACATGGGTAGGCAGGACAAGATAACATCACAATAGTATTTGTATATAAACATTCACAATTGCAGGCAACCAGAAGATATTGATCGGTAATTTCACTGCCCTTTATTGATGTTATCAAAGGATATCTTGTTTGTCAGTTACAGGTAAGTTAATTATGCATTAAAGGACTTGCAAAACCTATGTAGCATGTGAAATAAGGACACCGGTGTGATAAAATAGCGAACGTTCACTTTCAAGCTGGCTGCAAAGGTTTTGGAGGTTCCAAACATGGCCTCATTATCCTGCTGGTTCTGACAAGTTGTTTGGACAAGCAAGACGAGGAGTTCCGAATGCAGCATCATACTCTCCTCTCACTGAATCAAGCAAACAGTTGTTTCCCTTCTCCTTTGTCTTGTGAATGGAACATAGTGAGTGTGAAATAGTAACAATGCATGGCTTACTTTGAAATAGCAACAATGCATGGCTTATTTTATGCCACTAAACACACTATCCTTTCCTCTCCCCATCCCCTCTCACCAAACTATACTACCAAGTACTATCAAGTTCCCCCTACACACCAATCTCTGCTATAAACATATACAAATACCTAAATACATAGCTTTATATGATTCTTTTCCTATTTGTTTGCTATTTACATGTTTATGGTAATACATTTCCATTTTCGTTCATATAAAACAGCTTTTTTTTTTTTTTTTTTTGGGGGGGGGGGCTTGCTCCACTATGGTAAGTGCCATCTCTGACAGTAGAAAAGATGCACAGGCATATTAGATACATCTCATTTCAGCATGAATATTCAGGAAAATATAGCTTTGAGTATATAAGGTCCATTCTATAGCATGCACTCAAAATACAAATTGGCATCTAATCTTTAACAGTCTGCGTAGATAGATGGTATCCAAAGAGTCATTTGAAATACTGAATGTGCATAGCTGCTGAACAAACTCACTACATGCGAACACTCACACCTTACTTTTTGTATGATGGCAATATTTCTCTGTTTATTTAATATTACATCTGACAGGTCTAATGCCGTACCTTTTGCTATCATACTTTCTGCTACCATATATTATTACTCTCATATATACCTTTGACTTGTGTATTTGGAATTCTGCCAATTTTGATAAGTTACATTATCAGCTGTCACTAGTCAGTGACTGGTCAATGTTCCTGCTCTCACCTCGGAACAGGCACAGGCCAGGACACATCCAACTCAGGCTAAATGCACAATGATAATGGATAACTCAACCCAAGTACAAATACTCACTTAAACTCTTAACTATTTGTTTAACTCACTCACTGACTCACTCACTCTCTCTCTGGTACAATTCAGGAATAAATTTGCATATATTTGCATATATATATATAGATTCTTTGGCCCATTTTTATATAGTAAGTGGCTTACATGCAATCAAAAACAGCATTATGAAATAATAAGGCAAATACATTTTCTATTATTATATAGCTATTCTTGGCTATTTTCATACAAAGAAAAGAATGTCTGTTGTATAGGAAACAAAAGAGATGTGTTCCTGAATGGGGGCTAAAAGTCTTTAAGTAAAACATAGTTCATGTGCTATAACATTACTTTTACTCCCTACTTATCATAACAAACTATTATTTCTCTTGTATATGAGGCAATAATATATGTACCAATGCATATATGAACCAGTGCATAAATAGAAGTATAAATGGTGTGCATATTTAGGTGCATTTTATCTGTGAAGAAAAAACAATGTGTAATATAATTTCCTCAGGGTTCCTATTGTATGTTTGAATGTCTAAATGTATGAACATTTAAGTGCACACATGTATAAAGGCGGATTCACACCAGGAGCAAAGCTAAGCTATGCATGTAGTGTGCATGCTGCAAAGCTACATGGCTTTCAATCGCCTCTGTGTATTTTCAGTGACTGTATTCACATTGGATGCGAAGCTATCTGCGCTATGCTTCACATTAGCAAATGCAATTGAGAATTCTTTGTTTTAACTTTTGTGAATTCAAATACGAATGTGAATCTTGGATATGCCAATCCAATGTACATTCCATAGTTCGAGCACCAGCATGAAATTATTTCCAAATGCTGTACCTGAACTGTATAAATATTTAGGTTTTTTTACATCATGCAAAGACATTCAGTATCAGTAATTATTTCTAACATGACAAGTCCCCAACTCCAGTCAATATTCTTGGGGGATCCCATATGGTCGATTTCGCTCATAGCAGGGATTTTAAAAGGTAAAGAAAGAGTGAAAGTAAAAAACCCGAGTCAAGATTTGACCACAATGATTTGAAACTATGTTGCACAAACGAATGAATAAACAAATGAGCAAGCAAACCCAGCCTAAACACACAATCTATCACAAAGATCTTTGTAGGAATCAAAGAACTTCCTAACCCAGGGGCTCTGCCCCTGGACCCCCCTCCCAATTACCGTATTTGCCTACCGGGGGCTCCGCCACCAGACCACCTCTTTACCTAATCTATCAGAGCCTAATCATGAGCACTTACCTTACTGTGGAGGGTATAATCACTGACACTTTTCAACTTCAAATTTTTCTAAATTAGATTGTGCTCTTGGCAGTGTAATTAATCCTACAGTATCTTCACGGTATTTGTTATAAAGAAATCCCCCAAATCGTAATCGCACAAGGGAGAGATTCCATGTCTTACACCCAAGGAAGAAAGAATGACGCAGGTCGTGAACCCTGAAAAACTGGGTTGGACACTCGTTAGGAGCCAGTCATCACAAGGTAGTTTGGTGGTTATTAAAAGTCAAAATATATATTAAGTTGCTAATGATGTAATATAAATGACTGTTTATAGGCAGATTGTGTATATGAGAATAAAGTATAAAGTAAATAATACAATACAATTTTTTTTTTTATACCCAATCTGGCAATTTGTAAGGGATATGAAATACTAGGAGCAGTTATAATGACATTAATGGCAGTGACGTCACATGACATACATGCACTGTCTGAGAGAAGTTGCTTTGAAAGCTGCGCGAGGACTTATACTTGTTGAGTGATTTTCTGACTTAGCGCGTAAACACATTTTGCGCACACAGACTTGGTCACAGTGAGCGTGATTGGCATTTTTCGTGACCTATTTTTTCCTTTCTGAAGTTATTCTTTGCCTGCGCAGATCATATCAGATATCAGTGAGTACTTTTTACATATCTTTATGACAGTGCCCTTAGATTTTCATTATCTTGGTGCGGTTATTAGATATAGATATACTTCAGTTTCTATTTCCTATACCTTATTCATTTTGAAACTTGCCAACTATCAGTTGGGCAGTTTAAGCTCACTTGTTAAACTGCCACATTTTTTATCAAAGAAGTTGATATTTGTAGGGGTAATTTTCCACGCACATATGTATCCAAAACTAGGTATAACTCATTTTTTATACAAATCTTATACACATTCTACTACATATATGTAAAACTCAAAAGCATTTCTTTTTATCCCTCTTTTTTTGGTTAAGGTATACAAAAGGACCACATCAACTGTGAAAAAAATTTAACCTGGCATTGGAGGCAATGAAAAAACTACATTCATTGATATTAAAATCAATCTGCAGAAGCCAGCTAATTCTTGTTGAACAATGAAAATGCATCAGTCCATGCACCTTTCACAACTAAGTCTAGCCCTTCTAAACTTGCAGCAAACAACTTAGCTGCACCGTAACCTAAGAAACTGTCTTGGTAGCTTGTGATGTCACAGCCAGTCATTGTTAGAAATGCACTGCACAATTAATGTATTTCAGCTTTCTAATTTATATAAAATTATACCTGAATACATATTAATCAAATGTTCATTCCTTATACATACAAAACCATTTATTTGATCATATACTATCTATAAGTCTATTTTATTATATACATATTTCCCTACTGAGGGCAGAGCCACTGATAGGGAATTACTGCAACTGGGAGGGGGTTCAGGGGCATTTGGTTTTCTATTTCCCACTTGGTAAATGTTTACGATAGGACCGCATCCATCAGAGACGAAGTCCCTGACTTCTGCCAACAATGTTGGATGATCCTGTGGGGAATCAGGGGTTGGGGGGTGATTTTGTTCATACCATGCATTTTAAAAAGCAAAAGAATGTGGGACATTGAAAATATGAGCCAAGGATAGTATTTCAGATGACAAAGAAAGTGGAAAATGTAAAGACCCAAAAGAAGATTCGGCCACAGATGATTCGACATGGTGTTGCGCGAACAAACGAGCAAGTGAACCATACCTTAAACACATGAACTACCAGTAGGATCGCCGTATGAAGAAAAAAAAAACTCCAAACCCAGGGGCTATGCCCCCAGAGCCCCTCCAAATTGCCTTTTACCAGCCTCCGTGGCCCCTCTCAATTGTTTAACTTCCCTACCGGTGCCTCTAGATCGCCACTGACTACATTTAGAAATACAAAATAAGTTTACCTTAAAGTTGAGGGGACAATTTCAGTGAGACATCGATTTCTAAGCAAAGTTGGAAAAAAATCAGAAACACAAGTAGCACTGTAAACAACCTTCAAATTTGCTGGTAGAGGGCAGCGATGCACAAGTATGGATATACCGTGTATTTCTAATGAAACTATGATACGTGTATGGTAAAACTGATCACATTGTGCATTTAACCCATTCACGCCGGTATATTTATAAACTATTCCCGGCGGCTACAGAGTCTGTCCGCCCACTGGCCGCGGCCCGCTGCTGCGTCGAAGCATGATCCCTGATACAGCGTCACACTGGCAGGACGCCCAGCAATTTTCATTTTTTCGGGTGTTTCATCTATGGGACACCCATCGCTAATGGGTTAAGGAATGAACATTTGATAAATGCGTTTTTCGTTAAAATTTCACATGAATTAGAATACAGAAATACATTTTACTACAGTGCGCTTATAAGAAATTTGCCGCAACGTCACAAGCTACAAGCTCCAAAACAGTTCAAGCTAGGTTCCCGCACAGCTAAGTGGTTCGCTGAGATGCGAGGAGGGCTAGACTTTGTCGCTGGAGGCACATGGGGACTTAGTCTTTGCACTGCATTCTGCCACATTTATGTCATTTAACTTGAATAGATTCGTTGTTGCAAATCAATTTTGATAGCAATTAAAGTAGTTTTTCATTGCCTGCAACACTATGATTCATTTTCTCCTAGTCAGTGCGGTCCTATCGTAAACCTTAACCTTCCAACTTAATTTACTGTATGAAATGCAATTCTTGGCTTGGGTTAAATTTCTACTTTCTTTTGGTCTTTAAAATGCCTGCTATGAGCGAACTTCCCCTCCCCCAACCCTTTACTTCCTCAAGGGATCCCCCTTTAGAGTTAGGGACTTAGTCTCTGACAGCTGTGGTCCAGCTATAAACATTTACCCTTTTCTTTAAATCCATTCCCGACAACTGTTCCTGCAATCATTGAAATTTTGCAGTCACTATCAAAAAGGTTGCTACCATGCTACCCTATTTGTTTTGATCTGATTTTGAAGTTCACATCTTTAGTCTGGTCAAATAGTTTGGAAATTAGAATAGAATCGACAAAGATTCATAACATGTTAGCCTAGTTTTCTAATACTAGCATGTGTACAGTATGGGTTGGGTGTATTTGAGTTGGATCTTCGTTGTACCATCATGAAGAGGGTAGAGGCCAGATAATGAGTAACATATGGGTAGTGTTTCAGCAGCCATTCATTATGTTCAACATAATACTATTCTTAGATTCTCAGTTTTCAAGGTTTAGGCACATAATAAAATGTTTTTCATCTTAAATTCATATAAAAAAAAAAAATAATGTGCCCAGCAGCATTACAAAAATATTCAACCAAATCATCAATATCATCAATTAACACGCAAAAAAATATATAATATTCATCCACTAAATGGCACAAGCGTTATCAGCCATTATGAACAGCATAAAAATGGTAAATTAAAATAAATTATGATAACTAATTAGCATATTATCTAACATCTAATATAAATAACAAAAATAATACATAATAAAGATCTAAAACAACTCACCTAATCAAAACACAAAATATTAAATAATAATAGAAATAAGAGAGAAATTGAAATTTAATTAGATAGGAAAATAAAAGAGATAACTCATTAAAAAGAAAAAACATAAGCACCATGTGATATATACAACACATAAATCACAGAAAGTATAAAGAGATGACAGAATAAACCAAAATGTAAAAAGTATCACAAATTTCCAAATATTTGAATAAACAAAGAAACAACCCCGTTTCCCTTCCTTTCTAGATAACGACTTCCTAAATGCCTCTCTCAGTAAAACCAAAACATAACCTTAAATATGATGGGCGTAGTGAAAAAATAAGACTGGGAAAAAACGAAAATCTGCCCCAAAAAAGCTAAAACATCCGGAAACCCCAGTAAACTTAAGGACGCTGTTCGGAGCCCAAACTTCCAACCCCAAAGCTGAGGACTTCCCTCTTTAAACTTTTCAACTCTAGCCATTAAAAAAACTCGGTAAAACCCTGCTCCTTGGGTGCACCACAACCCTCGGCTTCTACGCAAACCCCTAAAAGCAATTTATCTCTCGGCCTCACCTCGTATTCGTCTTCCGAAGATTCGGAATCAAGCTGAATGACTTCGCTTGCCGCCATTGCTCTATTTGTAAACACGGGGAAGGATGAACTTGTTTGATACTGCTTGCTTTTGGCTTCTGATAATTGATTCATTCTCATTATCATGGCTGATTCCACTTACATTCCGCTTCACATCATTGTCTTATATCATTCAAAGCAAGACCAGAAATATCTGCATTCAAATGCATTTGTCTTTGGCTCACATATGTGTTCTCATTATCATAAACTTCTCCGAAACCTTTTGCATTAGGCTTCGAATCACTAATAAGGATAAGTTTGTCCGATTCCACCTACGCTAGGCTTCGGATTATTAATAAAGACGAACTCCTCCGATTCCATTCACATCAAACTTTAGCGCATTAATTATTTCTAATCGTCATAATCAGTTCATGCCAATTATCATCATTATCATTGGGAATTTATCGTCATCATTATCATTATCTTCACCAAATTTCCCTCATTTTACATCGTAAGAAAAGTTTTGCTAACGCTACTTCATTATCCCTTTTTAAAATTCAAATCAAAGTGATAAAGGGAGCGCTGAGGCAAACAATTTAAATAGACCTTATCTCAAGATAAGAATATTATTGCCTGTAGTGAGATAAGTATGCAACTGATATGGTGAAAGGCTTTTTTAGACCAGTAAAGATCTCGGAAATGAAGTTCTTCCTAAACAGAAATATTAAACGAGATTGTTTGCGTTCAAACAGACAAGAAGAATTCGCATACACAGAATGATATCAGTGACAAAACGGATTATCTCTCAACAATCATAACGAAGGATGCAATGAGTCATGATAGTATAGTAATAGTAATGAAAAGGTACTGGAAGGGTTTGGAAAAAGAGAGAACAAAATCATTGGCGCTGACGTTAAAATGGAGATACATATATTTCATGATGATAATGATAATAACAACAAAACTATTAATGATGATAATGATAATAATATTAGTAATGGTAATTATAATGGTAACAATAATAGTAATGATGATTGTATGATGACTTTTCTACTGACAACAGAAGTATTCATCAAAGTCTTTATTCATTGTCATTACAATTTTTTATTCTCATTGATTAAATTGCCATTGTAATTATCATTATTGCTAATATCATCCTTATCATCATTACTGATAATGTCATTATCATTATTATAAACATTGTTATTATCATCATTATTGCTAGCATTATACTTATTGTCATTATTATCATTATCCTTATTATATTCACTATTATTATTATTATCATCATCATCATTATTATTATTACTACTATCATTATTATTATTATTATTATTATTATTATTATTATTATTATTATTATTATTATTATTATTATCATTATTATTATTATTATTATTATTATTATTATTGTTATTATTATTATTATTATTATTATTATTATTATTATTATTATTATTATTATTATTATTATTACTATTATTATTATTTCATATCATCATCTTAGCATTATCATTACTATTATCTTTATTATTATTGTTTGTTATTGCATTATTGTTATCATTATCATTATTATTATCATCACTATAATTATGTTATCATTATCCTCGTATATTCATTATTATTACTATTATCAATCTAATGTTATCTTATTATCATTATCGCTATCAAAATTATTATTATCATTGTTATTATCATTATCATTTTCGTTATAGTTATTACCATTATTATTACTATTACCATCGCAATAATAATGATGATAATGATAATGATACTAGTAATAATGATAATTATCATTATCATTCCTAACATTATTACTATTATTATCATCATTATTATCATTATCATTAGCATTACATTATTTACCATTATTATCATTACTACTACTAATATCATTATCATCACTATTATTATTGTCATAAAGATTATCATTATCATCGTTATCATTATCATTATCATCTTTATTATTATTAATATCACTATTGTTATTGCTCTTAGCATTATTATTCATCATTATGTTATTATCATTATCTTATTATTTATATGTTATTATTGTCATTATTATTATTATCATCATTATTGTTATTATCATAATGATAATAATAATAATAATAATAATAATAATATAATAATAATAATAATTATTATTAATTATTATTATTATTATTATTATTATTATTTATTATATTATTATTATATTACTATTATTATTATTTTCATTTCATCATTATTAGCATTATCATTACTATATCTTTTTATTATGTTGTTGTTATTGTCATTATTGTTATCATTATCATTATTATTATCATCACTATGATTATTGTTATCATTATCCTCGTTATCATTATTATTACTATTATCAATCTAATGTTATCTTATTATCATTATCGCTATCAAAATTATTATTATCATTGTTATTATCATTATCATTTTCGTTATAGTTATTACCATTATTACTATTACCATCGCTAATAGATGATGATATGATAATGATACTAGTAATAATGATAATTATCATTATCATTCCTAACATTATTACTATATCATTATCATATTATCATATCATTAGCATTACATTATTTTACCATTATTATCATTACTACTACTAATATCATTATCATCACTATTATTATTGTCATAAAGATTATCATTATCATCGTTATCATTATCATTATCATCTTTATTATTATTAATATCACTATTGTTATTGCTCTTAGCATTATTATTATCATTATGTTATCATTATCATTATTCTTATTATTTTATATGTTATTATTGTCATTATTATTATTATCATTATTATTATTATCATCATTATTGTTATTATCATAATGATAATAATAATAATAATAATAATAATAATAAATAATTAATAATAATATATAATTAATTATTATTATTAATTATTATATATTATTATAATTATTATTATTATTATTATTATCATTATTGTTATTATTATTATTATTATTATTATTATTATTTATTATTATATTATTATTATTATTATCATTATCACTATTGTTATCATTATGATCATAAATCATTATCACCATCATCATGATTGTTAATATTATCATCATCATTATTATTATACTAGATATTGATATTATTATCATGATCATACCATGAATGGAATGTAGAAAATTATATCATCATCATCATTATTATTACTGTTGTTATCATTATTATAACCATTATCATGATCATCATTATTATTATGATCATTATCATTATTATCATCATTATTAGTCATTATTATTATTATCATTATCATTATTATTATTGTCATTATCATCATTATCATTATTATCATTATTATTACCAACATTTGTTATTATTATTGTTATCATTATTATTATTTGTATCATTACGATCATCATCATTGTTACTTTTTCTTCGTGTTGTTGCTTCTACTACTAATGTTGTTGTTATTGTTATTATCATCATTATGAGCATCATCATTATCATTACTCTTATTATTGTTATTGCTCATGATGATATTAATGATAATAATGGTAATGATGTTAATAACATTTATGATATGAATATTGTTAATGTGAATGATAAGAGTAGTGAAGATGATAATGATAATGATAATGGCAGTAATAATGAAATGATCTGGGTAATGATAATAATGATGCTACTATTACTACTACTACTAGTAATAATAATGATAATAGCAACAATATTGATAATAATGGTAATGATGATAATAAGGATAAGAATGATAATGCTAATGATAATGATGGTGATAAAAATAATAATGATAACAACAATTATAATTATAATGATAATAATGATAATAACAATGACAATAATAATGATAATAATAATAATAATAATAATAATAATAATAATAATAATAATAATAATAATAATAATAATAATAATAATAATAATAATAATAATAATAAAGATAATAATAATAATAATATATAATGATAATGATGATAATAATAATGATAATAATAATAAATGATAATATAATGATAATAATAATGATAATGATAACAATGATAATAATACTAATAATGATAATAATAACAATGATAATAATGATGATAATAATAAATCTAATAAAGATAACAATGATAATAAATGTAATGATAACAAAGCTAAAGAAAATGATATCATCTTTGGTGATAAATTTGGTAGTGATAGATAAGACAGTGATGATAATAACTTCAGTCACTTTTATCATAATAACAAAATGATAATGACAATAATATTGATAATGATAATTGTAGTGATAACGAAAATTATAGCAATAATGGTAATGATAATAATGATGATACTAATGATGATAATACTAATGATAATGACCGCAATAGTAATCATTATCATGATCATTATTATCATCACTATTGTCATCATGATTATTACTATGATCATCATTATTACCATCATCATAATTATTACCATTGTCATTCTCATTAATACTATCATTATCATGGTCATTATTATCATTATTATTATTATTATCATTATTATTATCATTATCATTATCGTTATCATTATTATGATTATTATTGTTATTATCATTATCATCATTAATATTATTATCATTATCATTAAGATTATTATCATTATCATTAATATTATTATTATTATCATTATTACTATTACTATTGTTATTATTGTTCTTACTATCATCATTATTATCATTTTATTTTTATCATCATCATCGTTATCATTATCATTGCTATCATTATCATTAATATTGCTGTTGTCTTTATTATTATCATTACCGCTATTATTATCATTATTATCATTATCATTATTATTATTATTGTTGTTGTTGTTGTTATGATTGTTAACATTATCATTATCATTACTATCATTATTACTATTATCATTGTTTTCATCATCATTATTATTATGAACATAATTATTACTATTATCATCATGATTAATGTTATGACCATCGTCATGACCAGGATTAGGAACATCACTAGTATCATCACATTACCATTATTAAAATATTTCATTGTCATCTGTATTTTTACTATCATTGTCATCAGCATTATTATTACCGCTATCGTAATCACAAAGGCCACTTTGTCATTGCTATTGCTAACGTTGTTATAATCAATATTGCAACTGCAAAATAGATCCAGTAGTTCTTTTTGTGTGGTTATTCACAGCCTAACTTAGAGAGCATCATCAGATATTGGTGTCAGTGATCATAACATTTGAAAATAGACATGACATATACATGACAAGTGTTGAACATTTATTTTTT